CTTTCTCTCCAACAGAAGCAGAGGAGGGTGCACTGCCACTCCTAAGAAATTAAGAAACCACAAACCTTCACCTGTGCTTAATTTGCATACTATGAATTACCTTTTCTAAAAATTGCTGGATTTTTAAATGACAGCTTAGGCTACAGGACAACAGATTTCAAAAGGGGGTTTCTAGTTTGGCTTCAAAGATGGATTTGACAGCAAGTCTGGACAACTTCAGGTTGCTAGATATCCCTGTTTATTTGCAAAAAAAAAAAAAGAAAAGAAAAGAAAAGCTTAATCCTTTGGCTCTAACAAATAAAACACACCTACAAAAAAACTTCTCTTTGAACACAGTAGTTGTGTTCCTAAGAAACTTGTATATGATAACCTTTTTACTTGCTTTTAAATGTAAGTCTTATAGACACTAGAGCACCTTGATATCTAATGGAAATCAGATCAAATCTTTTCAGAACATAAGTATGTCTCCAAAAAATCATATGCTATGCAATTTAAAGTTTCAGAGCTGAAAGTTCTACTTTCAGCATGCCATGTAAGAAGCTCCATGAACCCACTACCCAGTGAAATTGTGAAAATTATTTTTAAAAACAACCCTTCAAAGTCTCTGGAAATTGTCCTAGGAGCATACACAAATAAACATTAAAAATCTAAAACGCAGTAAGACTAAGTAATATTTAAACTACTTTAAACTAGAGTAAAAACAGTAAGAGTCTGTAGTATTTAAACCAAGATTCACTCCTCTCCACACTCCTCGCTCAACAAGATGGAAACTGCACTCCAGACTGGTACAGCCAAGAACAGAGGTACTCTCTCCCCACAGTTCCTAGTCAGAGAAATACTTTCCAGCAAGGGCAGGACACCGGCATTACTCATCTTGCTCCTAGCCATCTGCTGCTGACTAAATAATAGTCATTCTTGTGTACACGTGATTTAACTTAAGTTTTATGCTAACTAGAAAAGCCTGTCTTATATAGCCTGTCAAATAGGCATTGTACATCTGCTTGACCATTAAAGAAAAGAGTACATTTTTTAAAAATCAAGATAGAGTAACTGTGATACAGGCATTCAAAATGGAGCCAGATGGCCACTGTGGATGTGGTCTCAGACATATTCCTACATCACTGAGAACTTGAATTTTTGAATTGTATCAAACTCAAGGACATGAACAGTTGTTTTCAAAACAATATCTGCCAGCAGCTACTAGCTGCAAATTTATACTGTCAAGGTCTCTCCTCGTAGCTATGCATCCATTTCGGACCCCAACCAATCCTTGCTTAACAAGCATCCTTACTTCTTGGCAGCTCCAATCCTAATTCTTGACAAACAGCTCATGTAACTTTGTGGGTTTTGACTACATAAGCCTCCCCCATTTTGTAGTGTGGAGGAACACAATTCAAGTGCTTCTTTAATCTGTATCTCCTGGGCTACAGTCCTTAGCTTGGCCTGAATAAAACTCTCTTCTATCCCTTACTAAAGAATGTTCATTGATTATTTGGCATTCCTCAAACACTTAAACATAGAGTGATCATATGATCCAGCAATTCCACTACAAGGTATCTACCCAAGAGAGATAAAAACGTTAAGTCCTCATAAAAACATATACAGGAATGCTCATAGTAGCATTACTCATAATATCCAAAAGGCGGAAATGCCCCAGATATCAATCAATTGATGAATATATAAACATAAAGAGGCATGTGCATGAAATGGAATATTAATCAGTGATAAAAAGGAATGAAGCACTGATACATGCTACAACATGGATGAACCCTGAAAACATGATAAATCACAAAAGATCATATAGTATATGATTCCATTTATAAAAAATGTATAGAATATGCAAATCCATAGAGACAGAAAGTAAATTAGTGGTGCCTTAGGTCTGGTGAGAAGGAGAGGGCAAGAAAGTTACAGATGAAGGATGCAAGGTTTCTTTCTGAGGTGGTAAAAACATTCTAAAATTGACCGTGGTACAACTTACGGTTGTACATATCTGTGAACAGACCAAAAAAAGCATTGAATTGTATACATTAAATGCGTGAATTGCATGGTATGTGAATTATATTTCAATAAAGCTGTTTTTTTTAAGTAAATAGTGATGGACACATGGGGGGACACACAGATTCATATTATTTATGCTTTGTTTATGTTTTAAATTTCCCATAATAAAAAATAATAAAAGAAAGTTTTACTTTTTTTTAAGTAGATACACCTGTATTTTGGCCACAGTTACCACTTTATCAGAGGAACAAAAGGTTGGCAAATTAAATTCAGAAGATTAACAAATTAAACCCTTTCTCCTGGAAGGACATCCCACCGCACTGAGAGAAAGAAAAATTAACCATAAATTAAGACTTAAATAAAATGCTAATTCACTTTCCACTTTCAAAAAGATACAGGCCTTGACTTTAACATATCCAGGTAAGCAGCCAGATGGTGGAGATCAGTTACTGGCAGGTTAGAAAGAAGAACAGGAACATGGTAATAAGGCATATTTTAGTCATGAAACCTGGCTTTTCTGTTACAAAAACAAATAAAATGTATTCCAAACAACAAAAAATTAAATACATATAAACTGATTTTAATTAGATTTAGTTAACTGTCTTCAACAAAAATAAGAAAAGAAGAACTTGCATTTTATCCCCTATTCATTCATTATTGATTTCCAGCTCCTTAATGATTTGGTTTTTTAATAAATATAAAACAAAAAAACAAATATCAGGTTTTCCATAGATATCATCTCTCTCCACTGGAAAAGAAAATAATAGCTAACATTTATTAATCATTTACTAAGGTCCCAGGAACTATTCTCAGTCCTTTGCAAGTATTCTATTTTACTCTTCATAACAAAACTACAAAGTAAATCAAAGATACTATTTTTCAGGCATCCCTGAATACAGAGAGGTTAAGAAACCTACCCAAGTGATCACAACTAAGTGGTGAAAGAAGCATCCAACACCAGGCTGCCTACTCCAGAACTTTAAATAAATGCAGCTACCTCACGAAAATCAAAAAGCTATAATTCTCTTAATATTAAGTCTAATAATTGCAAATTCAAACTTCAGGAAAGTATCTCATGCATTTAATTAAATTTCTTAAGAATGATTAGAAAACAACAGTTTGAAGGTTTTAACAGGTGCATATCTATGAATAGCCACAAAAGATTGATTTCTTACGCCTTATTAGAATAAGTAAGAGATTATCTCTTTATCCCCTAAATTCTAGAAATTCTCTTCCACACTTACCACTTTCTTTTTTGCTTTAATACTTATATACATATTATCTTCCAAACCAAGTTTACTCAGATTTAATTTTCATTTAAGATGTGAATGTTTTAACACTTCAATTGGCCTAGTCCTAAAATATGGAAGGATGACTAGAAGAATGGCTATAGCAGTGATAACCCAAAGAATCCTGTAGAAGGAACATGTAGGTTAGATGAAAGATTCTGGAATTAGATTCTGATGTTTTTCATTTTTGGGGCTTTGTTTTCTCCATGCTATGCTAGTGCCACCTCAAATTTTGGAATGTAGGGTTCAGATCTTCTAGTCCAAGAAAGATGACAAATGCATATAAACTTAGAAGGGCAATGTTGAAGACTGTATTATAAGGGCTCAGTGTCAGAACTTTCAATAAAAGCCACAGAAGACAAACGAGCACAGGAGACGAAGTTAGGCAGACCTGGGTTCCCTCTCTGACTCCACACACCAGCAATGTGAACTTAGATAAGTCTCTCATCCTCTAGACTCCCAGCTGTCCTGGGAGGTGGGAGGATAAAATGGCCTAACACATGTAACTACTTAGCCCAACACCCAACCCATAGGGAGCACTCAAATGTCATAAATGTCAGTAGTAACCTAATAGTAGTAATAGCAGTAGTGGTGGTAGTGGTTGTGGTATGTTGTGAGCAAGATAAAATTACAAATGTCAATCTGACCTTCTGGAATGAAGATTTAAATTGGACAGTCAAAGGATGATAGTAATCTTTCATCAAAATGTTAATCAGCAGGGATGTTTTATAATAACTTCATGTGTTTCAATAACTGAGAAATATTTGAAAGTCTTTATTCTGAGGGATAAGACTTGCTATATACATCAAATGGTGTAAAACTTTAAAAATACTATATACCATTGATACTGGGTATTTTTTCCTTCAAAGAATGTTTCCATTAAGAAGGTGTATCATAAACATAAGTGTGTAGTTGTAATTTAAGGACAATTACACATAATTACACAAAATGAAAAATTCATTAAACTTTCATAAATAACTTGTAAATCATTTGCAAGATTTAAAAACTTTCTTTTCTTATATTCTTCTAAATAACGGTTCAGTCTATTCACACACAAAAAAAAAGACTCAACAATTATTCTCTCTACATATTTCTAACAAGTTACAAAATCTCTCCCTCTCTGAATGTTGGCGGACTTTAGCTAAGACCTTTAGTTTTCCCTCCACAACTTTAAGTTGTGGATGTCTGTGATATGATTTCATTTCTAAAGTAAAAGTGAGATGGAAAAAAAGCTTTAGGAAATTGGAGTCAACTGCAGGACTGGCTCGGGGAAGGGAGATGCTAATAAAATCACCTCAGTTCACCTAAAGTGCTGTGGTCTGCAATGCAGAGGGAGAAGGAGAAGCAATAATCCTATTGCAACAAGGAATTACGGGTATTAGTACATGCATCCTACTTCAGTCATAGGCTGGGAACTGCTTTGACCATTAGCTCACCAGACCTGTTGAAGTGTCACGGGAGAAGGATGCTGGGCACCACGTGACATTCCTCAAAAAATTCTTAATCACTCTTCCTCACACACACACACACACATTGCTCTGTTAGTTGTGTTTTTGTTTTGCTTTGTTTTGAATGCAAGCATCCTTCCTAGGAAATCTATCGCCCTATATCCCCCGAAACATGGTATCAGAGAATCAGCCTTGACCACAAAATAAAACACAGAAAGGGCATTCATACACCCAATGTTTCATTCCAGACATACTTTCCTACCTGATGCCGACTCGGGAGGGTCCTGCCCCACCTTTCTTTGAACTCTCTTCCCTCAGGACGTCTGACGAGGTCCCTGAGCTGGAAAAAGAGCAAGAACGGAGGGTGCAGAGAAAAGCAACCCTTAATATTCCCTCTGGTTCTCCTGCTCCAACGTATTCCACGTCCCAGGGAAAGAGAGCGCCTCACCAGGTAGCACCACCAGCTCCAGAGTTAGAGCGATCCCACCAAGAAGCTCCCCTGCATCCACACTATCACCCCCGGAGACAAGCGGGGAAAACGGCATCAATTCTTTGGAAGAGACCAGGTAGGCGAGAACAGCGGAAAGTCCTGCTGCTCACAGAGGAGGAAATTATGAAGGAAGCGGTGAGTGGGATTTAGCAGAAAAGGGACAGCAGCAACGGAAAGGACACCTCCTCACTCCTGACTAACTCCAAGCCATCTTCGCCTTGTTGTCATAGCGCTTTACAACGAAGGCTACTGCGCAGGTCAGATAGCTAAGCCCCGGTACCTTCTGGGAGTTGTAGTCCTGAGTCTCTGAGGAGAGTGGAAGGTGGAGAAATTTTTCTTACTGGGCCACGGTTAGAATCAAATTTCTACTGGGAGGGGCTGGAATGAACCCCTGCCGGTCATCATTAGCACAAAGATAGATAAAGAAATAATACAATAGCCCTCTTTTGTTCTTGGACGGTTCCTTGGACGCAGTCTCTGAAGAAGACCCGCCTCTCCCCTCCGCAGCAGACTCAAGCCACGCCCCCTCCCCTTCTTTCCCGCGCTCCCGCCTCTCGTCGCTCGCAGACGGGACTTTCCGCGGGGGCGGGGCTCTCCAGGGGCGGGGCTTCCGAGGCCTGCAGCCACCCGGCTACCGCTTTTTTCCGAACTCGCAGGCTCGGGAGACCGTCCACGGACCCAGCAGCTGCCGCGAGGGTGGGCGCGGTAGCGAGCGCCACCTTGTGCGCCCTGGCGTTGGGGGTGGTGCTGGCCCAGTCTTTTTTCACCTTGCAGAGGAAAACGGTTCAGAAGACCAAGATCATCAAGATGGTGAGGCATTTGGAGTTTCCAGGTGTTTATTTTTCTCTTGTAGGAAAAATGCTGCTTAGAAGTTACTTGTACATGTCTCCTGATTACATGTGCTAATTATTCTCTTTAGCATATACCTTGGAATGGATTTTCTGGTGTATAGTATACAAATGTTCAACTTTACAATTAAACAAAATAATAATGACATTTTCAAAACATTTATTTCATCTCTGCTTACAGATTCACCGTAGGTATAATACTCTTGTCAGTCACCAACCTCGAAATTTTGTTTTGCTTTTTTCACTGGATTTTAGCTTAGGCTTTAGATTTTCTGTTTTTCAACACTAATTCACATTCCCACTAGAAAATGAAGTTCTAAATTAGTACATTTCTTAAAGACAAAACAAGTTCATAAAAATCATCAATAGTATTAATTTTTAATACTGTGATATTATTAAACCATCACAGCACTGGTTGTAAAAAAAATTTTAATGTCAGTTACTTAGATTGCCAATAATAAGAGCTTAGGAAAATTAGATAAAATGCTATTCCACCATTAAAATTCAAATTATTGAAGCGTTTTGACTTGAAAAAAATGATCATAGGTGGAAAAAAAAAGTCTTTAAAAATACCATTTGGTATCATGTTTATAAAGAAAAAATATGGAAAAATATTGGAAGTAATTTTTGCAAAAATATTAACAGTAGCTATTTATTAATGGGCCTAGTAGTCATTTAATTTTTCCTTTGCTTTTTCAATGTTTTCAATATTTATTCAATGGCCATGTATTACCTTTGTAATTGGAATTAAAGTTTTTAAAATAATACAATGATAGAATAAAATACTGTCTGCAAATAATTAAATGAAAATTACCTTGAATTACTAATTTTTTACACCTAAAATTTAACTTTATTTTAAAATATGAGGAACAAATATAGCATAAAGTTAAACTTGATAAAAATCAAGTGATGAATCCATGGTACCATTTGAAATATTTCACACCTTGAAAAGTAAGAAAGATTTTTTTGGATTCCAATATCATACAGTATTTGTCTTTCTCTGTCTGACTTATTTCATTTAGCAAAATGCCCTCCAAGTCCACTCATGTTCTTGCAAATAGCAAAATTTTCATTCCTTTTTATGGTTGAATAGTATTCTATTGTGTGTGTGTTTGTGTGTGTGTATCTTCTTTATCCATTCATTTGTTGATGGACACTTGGGTTGCTTCCATATCTTTTTTTTAACTGAGTTATAGTCAGCTTACAATGTTGTGTTGAATTACTAATTTTTATTTAAACCTTCTAAGAAATGTAACTGCTTAATTAAAAATAAATAATAAGTAAAAACCTCTTTGTGACAGAGGAAGCTTCTGAAAGCTTGAGATAGCCATTTGGCTGGTCATTTCCATCCCCACTGCCCCACCAGACACATGAGTGAAGCCATCCTAGATCAACCAACCCCAGCAGAGTCCCCAGCTAACTGCAGAGATCAGTTAAGCCAGCCCAGACCACAACTGCCCATCCAACCTATTTCATTTTTTTTTAACTCATACATATTAGACACATAAAGGACTATACTGATCATCAAGGCTATTTATTTATTGATCCACATACTCAATATCTAAAATATGTGGCAGGCACTATGCTAAGCATGTTAGAACATTTAATATTAAGAGCACAGATCTTAGTCATTTTTTGCCTTAACTAATAGGACAAAATAAGTTTGGAAAGAAGTAATACCTTAGCCTATTCATGTGTGATGCCCTCTGATATTTCTACTTTCTATTCTTTTCTATTTTATTTCATTGTTTAAAATATTGCTGGCTATTTCCTAAGTTGATTTCACAATCCTTTAACCCTTGACCCAGTCTGAAAAGCATGACTATAAAGCTTATCATTCCAAATAAATATTTGTGCAACGAATGAATGTCATTCATATAGGCAGATTTGGCACAGCAAGAGCTATAGAATATGGTATCAAGAGACATGTGTTTAAAATTCAAATTTGATAATGACTCTTCCCTACTTTATTTTCTTCATTACCTTCCTACCACACTTAGCATTGAGATTCAGGTTCTACATAGGGTCTGCAAAATTCTGGATAATAATAACCTCATCTGGTTTGCCTCTCCAGCTTCATCTCATGACTGTCCCTTGCTCCCCAGGCTCCAGCTATACACTGGCCTTCTCTCTGTTTCTCCTGTGCATGAAGTCCCTTTCCACAGGTTGCTCTGCCTCCCAGCATACTTTCCTTTCTTTTCTCCACCAGATCCTATTCACCCTTTAAGCCTCTGCTGATGTGCCCTTTCCCCTGGGAAGACTTCTTGGCCAACCAGTAGCGTAGGTATTGTCATATGTCTTCACAGAGCTAATCATAATTGAAATTTTAATATGTGAGTAATTATTGGTTCAACATTTTTCCTACATAAGCTTCGTGAAGGCAAAGACCTGCTTGTTCCCTGCACTTAAATGTCATTCACATAGCAGATTTCATTTAGTGTTTGATGAATGAATAAATAAATGACTAGATGGACGAATGACTGAATGTTTGAGTTTTTACTGGCTCTTTTGTCCACTTCTAAACCTTGCAGCTTCTGCCTCTCCCCAGACGACTTAATGATGCATGTTTGATACATCTAAGTGGCTCACACCAACCAAATTAGGCCAGAATTGTTCCTCCCTTCCTGGCGAGGCTTTGTTTCTGGCCAAGCTTGCATGCCTGATGCCACCCACTCTTAGTGGGTGGGTTCTTGCTCAGGAGGCTGCATACAATAAGGATCCAGAAGGACCCACCTCAAGCATGTGGAATCACGCCAGTAGCTAGAGCTATCACACAGCTGAGACCAGGGACTCCACTGTCCAGAGCTGAGCTGTCAAAGCTCCCAGTATCCTCACCTCTCCACTTGTGATAACTCTAGGAGGTTACTCAAAGTGTTAAAAAGGAAATCAGAAATCAGACATTGTTTGTGACAGAATTCTTAATCACAAACAACAGAATCCACTCTAGCTGTTTTAAATATAAAGTAGCTAATTTTAAGGGAATCAGGTAGTTCACTGTGCCTCTGAGAGACCCAGAAAACCAGACTTGGACCTTCACAACCAGGAATGCTGTGGCCAAGGCAGAGTGGCCAGAAGAAACATGCAGCTAGACTGTGGGCTGACACCACCAGGATGCTATGATATAAGGAATGGACACAGGTAAACCTTGCTGCACTGCCCAGAAGAACCAGACACCTCTGACTGACATCAAATGAAAGCGCTCCAGTCAGAACTGCTAAATCAAGGCCCTTGGGAGTTCCTGATACACAGAAACTGCTGAGAAAAAAATGCTCATTATTTCTTTCCAGTAGGTTTGGAGTGGTTTGTTTTGAAGGAGCAATTATCCTGAGACCTCAAAGACGTGTCAGGCTTTGGGGCTATACAGCTAAGGGGCAGACCCTGAACAGTGGTGCCCCCTGCAGCTCCTGGGTAGCTAGAGAACTTTCCTCACATCTCTTATTTCCTTTCTCTTTAATTTTAACACTTACCATTGGTAAACCGACATGGAAAAATATGGAATCTCACTAAGAATGTCACTGGTTGAGAATAGAATCAGAAACTGGGACTTGGCTAGTCTTAAAGCATATTTCCTTTGAGATGGGGCCAAATCTGATTGATTTGACCCCTTTTTTCTATTACAGAGCTTGGATTTCTACAGGACAATGATGGAAAAACACTGTCTTACTGCTTTTCCTTGGCTCTCTTCTAGATTCTGTAGACCAACTTCTATCTGTAACACGATCACATTACATTTTCTTTATTTGTAAATCACACCTTCCAGAGACTATATCCTTCTTGACTGGATTTGGATGTCTTATAAGGCATTGTACAGGCCATTTATTGGCCCAGGTAATTTCCATGAATGGCTAGATTATACATAATGTGCAGCAGTTCTTATTGGCTTCATTTTTAGAGGAAAAGGTCATTTTTTTCTTTATCTTTTAAAGCAGTTTTAAAAGTTTTGGGGAGCTAATTAGATTTATTTATTTATTCATTTATTTACTTAAGAAGAGATACTGGGGATTGAACCCAGGACCTCGTGCATGCTAAGCACACGCCTTATCACTTAAGCTATACACCCTCCCCAAAAGGTCATTTTCCAGTTCCAGAACATATGTCAGTATAATTTCATATATCTGTGCATAGCCTCTGTTTGTGTTTTCTTGAATAAATTAGAAAGAGTTCTTCATTTTTGTTGGGTATTAATCATTTGAATATTTGAGGTAAGTATTTCCCTTATGCTGTTACTTTTACTTCCTTTATTTCTTCGATTCTTTTCCATTATTTCAGTTTATTCCATTATTTCAATGCTAAAAATTTTTCTTTCATTATTTCAAAGCTGAAAAAATTATATACCAGACAGTTTCAAAGCACAACCTAGCTAAGCAACTAACACTTTTTCATTGACCTAGTTCTGTTTCCTGGGACATGTCACTTAACTCTCTGGGCCTTCTCCTTATATGTAAAGTAAGGGTAATACATATGACTAGTAATAGCACTTACAGTGATTTTAAAAATTAAATCAACTCCTGTTAAGGGCTTAGCTTAATAACCACATAAAAAGTGCACAGTGTTTGTTAGCTTTTCATTGCCAGCACCCAAACCTTATCTGAATACAGTATACTACACTGTATACATCGCATGGATCACATGCTCTGGAAAACTGGAGAATTTCTATGGAGAGTCTTGCCTTTTTCCAAAACAGTAGGAGTCCTACTAACATGTAAGGAGCAGTTACTGTGTGCCTAGCCACTAGGGGAATACGAATGTGTCTTGCACAGGTTTCCTGGACTTAAGGAGTGGAGATCGCGAGGGGAGGCCCAGCCACAGGCAGAAAGGGCTTGGGCTCCCTCCACAGCGGCCTCAGCTCCCGGCCGCCGCCAGAGGGCACGCTCCTACCTCCGGCACCTGCCGGCCTAACTGCAGGGCCCGGGACTCCGAGCACGAACGTGGGGCCCCGCCGGCCTGTCAGGGTGATGGGTGGCAGGCGGCCGTAGCCTGGACACCGA